TCCCTCCGTGTGGTTCTGGGATTTTTGCTCACAGTTCTTGTGATCATTTTGACCCCACGGGGTGAGATCTTGCGTGGAGCCCCAGATCGAGGGAGATTATCAGTGGTCTTGTATGTCTTCCATTTTCTAATAATTGCTCCCACAGTTGATTTCTTCACACCAAGCTGCTTACCTATTGCAGATTCAGTCTTCCCATCCTGGTGCAGGTCTACAATTTTGTTTCTGGTGTCCTTTGACAGCTCTTTGGTCTTGGCCATGGTGGAGTTTGGAGTGTGACTGTTTGAGGTTGTGGACAGGTGTCTTTTATACTGATAACGAGTTCAAACAGATGCCATTAATACAGGTAACGAGTGGAGGACAGAGGAGCCTCTTAAAGAAGAAGTTACAGGTCTGTGAGAGCTAGAAATCTTGCTTGTTTGTAGGTGACCAAATACTTATTTTACCGAGGAATTTACCAATTAATTCTTTAAAAATCCTACAATGTGATTTTCTGGATTTTTTTTCTCATTTTGTCTCTCATAGTTGAGGTATACCTATGATGAAAATTACAGGCCTCTCTCATCTTTTTAAGTGGGAGAACTTGCACAATTGGTGGCTGACTAAATACTTTTTTGCCCCACTGTATATATCATACAATCAACAAAAACTATCAATGTATGAATTAATCTCACTGAAACTGTCAATGGTTTCTTTTCCAAGCATCATTTTATTATATTCATACTTACAGACAATAATAAAAGTGAAATCATGCCATAAATTCTGTGTCTTGCCTTGCCTGCACGAAGACACAGTCTTCACTCCTATTGGTTGCTGCTTGCAAAAGTCGATATACATAGTCTACATAAAGTCTACATAAAGCTCTCTTGCATAAAGTAAAAAATCTGCTGCACTGGACATGCCCACATCCTGTCACCATTGGTCATGAGGCCGGATATCGCCAGCTCTCCACTGAAATAAATTGGAACATGTCACTTTGTCGCTGACAGTGTGAAGGAGGCTTTGTGCTCACCAAAACTGCATTTATTTGATCAAAAACAGTAAAAATACAGGGATATTGTGAAATATGACAACAATTTAAAAATGTTTTCTATCTTAATATATTTTAAAATATAATTTATTCCTGTGATAGGAAAGCTGATTTTTCAGCAGCAATTACCCCAGTCAACAGTGTCACATGATCCTTCAGAAAAATATAATTGAAATAGAAAGTGGCTTGGACATTATTACTCTATTTGATGCAGTGGATTAAAAGTTCAACTTGTTTCTGCTACAAGCACACATGCACACAAGTGTTACCTGCAGCAGATGGCCCTGATGGGCAGTTATTAAAACTCAACCTTAATCACTTTTCACTGTTGTCATCTTGTCTTCATTACTATGCTCAGTCCCACTTTATATTAGGTGGCCTTAACTACTATGTACTTACATTTAAATTAATCATTTGATACAATGCATTTATTGTGTACATACATATTTTACATTGTACTTATATTTAAAAAAAATACCTGCATGTAATTACATCTGTAATTAATTTCTGTAATTGCATTATTTATTCACTGTTGACCCATCCCTTATACCTTAAACCTACCCATACCACCAGACCTGTCCCTAACCTTTTGCAATTCAATATGCACATAATAAGTACATTGTACTTCTTTTTTTATGTAAGTACATAGTAGTTAATATTATTATAAAATAATATAATCCTATTCTCCTTTCTCTTCCACTCCTCTGCTCTCCATCTCACCCCTCTCTTGGACTGTGTTTAAATGCCTTTGGCTGCACAGTATATAGGTCACTCTCTCGTGCAGCACGGTCAGATTGGCCTACTTTTAGCAAAGAAGGGTGACATCATTGTGTTCAAAGCCCCATGTTAACACTGTTCATTTTATTGTACTCCAGCGTGTATGTGCAACAGTGTATTCAACCGATATTTAAACCATCAGATCTTAAACTAAGACTCTAAGAAGTGTGTTTACATGCAAGTGTCACCTGTGCTTGCAAAGTCGTCTGTTTTCAGTCTTAAGCACGTGCATCCTCTTGGAGAAAAAGACTACAACCATGAAGAGGAGGAGCAACATGATGGCAGCTCCGCCCACTGCAATACACATCACTTGGAAATCTGAAATGACCGACTCGCACCTGGAGCCCTTATTCCAGATATACTCCTGAATGTTACACCTACAAACAACAAAGATAGGGGTGTTAGAAAAGAGTCAGCTGAGCAACATTCAAAACTAGAATATATAATAATTAACTTCTGTGATCATTTAATGACAGATGTTGTATAAGCAGGATTTGGGACAATGCGGTCTATATGAACACAGAAGGAAATATTTCGGAAATAACCAAAGAACTTTCAAATGCAAAAGAAATTGAATGGCAATGAAACAGATTAGGAACTTTCAGATTATGAATTTTTCATTGATCAGGAGACATAAGTACTATTATGGCTTACAGATTTCTCCTAAAATTCATTAAAAGTCACGTATGCAAAATTCATTTTAAAATCTTGGGTTTAAGTACAATTTTAAAATCTTGAATTAGTTTGGAATAAAATCTGAGAATAGTTTGTAACTATAGAGAGAAACCTCATTTAATATTTTTCCTAGCTGTAAGGGAAAATATTGGCAACAGAAACAATGAATGTTGTATTAAAAATAAGTCTAAAGGGGAGTTTGTGGTTTTACCGTGTGTGATATTTTCCAGACATTCAAACAAACTGGCCATTACAAACACATCTGTGCGAAGATGAAAGAAAGTGAGAAACACTATATTGTGTTGTACAGTATAAGTGTGTTGTGTGGCCTTTTGACCCATTTATCATTACTATGAATCTGCAAGGTTACAGCAGAGCTTACAGCTGCATGACTGGACAGATGGCCCTGTCAAGGACGTGCATGTGCTCCTCTATTAGTGCCGGTCCCACAGAGAATAAAGCACCTGAGCTGTGCACAGTTCACAACTTCTAAAAATAGATTTACAAATTCTCTCATTTACCAGTGTTGTCAGTGAGGTGCTCGATATCTTATTGAAGGTGCTGGATCTATTATTTTTCTATTATGTAATGTATTTTAGCCCATATGGTTCGTTGATTGAGACACAGGTAAATTACAGCTGTGCTGATATTGCTTTTATATAACAGTTTAATAAACAAGAAGTTACTTCTGAGTAACTTTTATTTTAGACAAAATATTGCACGTTACATTTTTGTTGGTGGAGCAAAAACAATAGATTCAAATGAAGCCAAAGCAAATACCATTAAACTAACAGACATGCCATATGATGCTGGGCAAGCACAAAGCACAAATATATACATAGGGCCCTATTTTAAGGATCTAAAGCGCACGACGCAGGTGCACTCAGCGCGTGTCCGAATCCACTTTTGCTAGTTTAACGAGGGGAAAACGGTCGGCGCGCCCGGGCGCATGGTCTAAACGGGTTGTCCCTATTCTCTTAATGAGTAATGGGTGTTTTTTGGGCGTAACGTGCAATAAACCAATCAGAGTCTCATCTCCCATCCCCTTTAAAAGCCAGTTGCGCTCGCGCCATGGCGGGTTCGCTATTTACATGGCGGAATGTAATTTTTCATATTTACAAATGTTTGTGTGCTGCTGCGAGTCCCTGTGTGTGTAATAAGCAAAGTGTACAACAGTTTCAGGTGCCAACAATGCGCCTGAACACACCTCTTTTTTAGACCAGCATGTGCATTTGCTATTTAAATGCATTTGCTATTTAAGCAACGTGGGGCAGGACGGGAAAATTAGAACTGCGTCGGGCTGAAACTAGCAAAAACACTTTCGCCACGCCTTGCGCCGCGTTGAAATGGGTGTATGATAGGGCCCTTACACTCTGCAGCCTATGGGTACATTTTGTAGTGAGTGAAAGGCCAATCAATAGCTCACATGCAGGAAATCATTGCTCAGTGTGCATGTAGGCCAAGTTTACTATTCGGCCTAAAAAGATCAATTTGAAACTTAGTTTTATGGTCTGTTACTAACTACCCATCCATTTAGTGTAAACCATTGGCTGCGCTACACAGACTGAAGAAAATGCACCCATTGACCCCCCCCCAAACCTTACGTTCATCTGTTAGTTCACTCTTTACATGCCCTACAAATGAAAACCTTGACTTTTCTAATAGCATTGACCCCGTTAATGTAGACAGCACCCTGTCATGCCTTCTCTCAGTGATCGACAAGTTAGCCCTGCGGTGTGTGCCACACACCAAAATCCAGTGCCTGACTGAAAGTTACTTTTACATTCAGTAATGGAGCTGGACTGAATGGGGTTTTGCTTTTTTATTATTAAAAAAATAAATTTCACAAAAAAGGACAAATAAAAAAAAAAATAGATCAGTAAATTATTTCATATAATTAAATTATAATTTAATTACATTTTTTCCTTAGTCTATATTGTTATTATAATAAATAAATAAATAGGTAAAATAGATTGTTGTTCTTAAAATAAATAAAAATATTTGACTATAGCAAGATCACAAAGTCAAACTATTCTTTCTGGGATAATGAGCACTGATCAATTATAATAAGGCAGGAAAGAAATAGTTCATGCTGATTTCATTCTGACTTTAAAGATGTGGATAAGGGTGTTGCAGTATCCAGTGTAGAGTCAGTTGTCATCTGCTCAAATACACAGCTTAACACATCACATCATCTAGCTTTGAGGCTTCACTACACACAAATAAGATTCTCAGAACCCCACGATTATGGTCCAAAGCACCACCTTGAGGCAGGGTCTTTAGCTCTTAAACTGAAACACACACATTCACAGATCTGGGCTCTGACCCAAATCTCTTTGAGCAAATGTTTAATAAGGTTCTGCACTGGCCTCTGAGCAGAGTTGTGGCAGTAGTGGATGCTGGTTTAGTAGTGATATGATGCCAAGCCATGATGACAGGCTTGGAGTATGGAACTGAAATTATAGCAGCTGTTTGTGAGTCAAATGCTAAACATTCTTTTTGAATTTGTCTGTGCATGTTTTTTTTACTCTCATGGATTTTGTTACCATTATACGACTGATAGACTGCAATGGCTGGAGTTAAAAATCTCCGTTTGTGTTCTACTGAAGAAACAAAGTCACCTACATCATGGATGCCCTGGGGGTAAGCAGATAAACATCAAATTTTCATTTTTGGGTGAACTATCCCTTTAACATGGACACAGGAATTCAACCCATCATCTTTCTTAAAGCAATCTTCTGATTATTACCATGTGTCAAACTGAATAAATGTCTGAAAAACAAAACAAAGAAACTGAATGTGTATGTTAATCTCCATTACTGAAATTAGCTACAAATGTGAAAGGCATTTACAGTTCTTTGGTGTTTTGTAAAAGAATTTGTAATTAATAATGGTTTATGTACAGTATATAGCCTCATATTTCTTACATTTTATATTCTAAAGCTGCTTCACAAATAATTTATGGTCTCATCACTTCTGCCACTTTTGACAATGTCCAATTCTTGTAAGTTTTTAATTCAGTCTGATTCGCTCCTATATGGAGAGCAGTCTCCAAAAAAAAGTAAAACAAGAAATACAGCCACAGTTGTGATATAAATGTCACATTTATGAGAAACGTTAGAATTTTTGTATGTTAAACATGTTCATGGTTCTGGCATTGCGTGCTGGATAACTATTAGGAACTTAAAATTCTGCCTAATAATAATAAGGTAAGCCTTTCAAGGCTTCCAAGGCTTTTGAAGGCACCAGGCAAGTGTTACTGAAGGACACTGATGAAAAAAAACTGGGTCGTTCTGTTTTACTCAACTGCACAACACATACTGGATCAAGCATAGTTAAGGCAACAGCTAATGATCATTGATATTTCTAGCAGATAGAGGGAAAATAATCAATTGAGTAAGTGCACTGTTGGCATAGTTTTGTAACCAAACATTTCTACAGCAAGACATTTTCATGTTTTTGCAGCAGCAACTAACACAATGGCTGAAGAACTTAAACAATGATTTATATATTCTATATCTTATTTGTTTTACATATGGTAGAGTCTTGTTACATTAGCCATTTAAATAAAGGCCAAAAAGTTCAGATAAACCCTATGGCAACTGCCTGCCGCACAGTGTAAAATAGCGTGCATGACCTGGTTAGCATGAGCTTGGTCCAGTTTCAAGATCATCGAGGGTAAGCCGTTTACTACTCCCAAGAGATGTCTTCAACTGAGACTCAATCCCTCTTCAATCCCAACATTTAATGTAAATCATAATCCCGCACCATGAACAGATGCAAGAACATGACTGAAGGATTGAGTTACATCTTCAAACTCATTATGAACGTTTGATCAGATGCCACTGATGCTTTCCGCATTGCTTACACATGATAAAAAACAGCCCAAACAAGTATGATGACACCTTTCACAAACCAATTTAAATATTAAGATGAAAAGTGTAATCTATTAAATGTTACATATTAAGTATATGTACTGTATTACTTGTGTTCTTCCATTAATTTGTCTTGTTTTGTGTGTTTTTTGTGTTGGCTAAGCAGGCCAATTAGAGACAAACACTCTCCATTGTTCCATTAAATACACATGACTAATTAAAACTGACCCCATAGGCGGAAATGCCGGGGGGGTCGGGGGGACAGGACCCCCCTATCTGAGGGTTGTCCCCCCTAAAAATATGATAAAAAAAAACGCTGTGCATTGTAGATAACAATGTTTTATACTTTAATCAATTGTAAGTAGTAAAACAACACAAACGGGGCAAAAATGCATTTTAAGTTTAGAAACATTTTGAGTCTCCCCCTCCCTTGCCTCACTTTGGTCCAAATGCCTGCTTTCATCTTAAGTTGCGATTTTCTAGGCCGATATGGGTAGGAACTGTACTCTCATTCCGGCGTAATAATCAAGGAACTTTGCTGGGTAATATCATTGCGCCTGCTGCACCCATGGTACGGCAGCAAAGTTCCTTGATTATTACGCTGGAATGAGAGTATAGTTCCTAGCCATATCGGCCTAGAAAATCGCAACTTTTCATTTTCCGTCGGTCTTAGTACACAATGTAACTATAGAAGAGTCAAGTTTTAAATAGGAAAAATATAGAAACTCTTTGGTCATTTTTGAGCGAGATGCTAACGGTCTAATCAGATTCTGATCTATGATCTAAGCTAAGCTACAGCTAAAAGTGCTACTGCCAGACCCGGAGATCGGCTGAATGGATTCGAAAATGGTAAAACTCAACTGTTTAACTCTAGGGGAGTTGGAAAATGAGCCTATTTTCAAAAATAGTGGAGTGTTCCTTTAAAGCTGCAGATGACATAACTACGGTGCATGCTTATAAAAACAGAACATTGTTTTGCGTTGTTGAGGATGCTTATATACTTATTACAGTTATCATTCTTGGTGTGAATGGGCCTTAACACATGTATGCGTGCGACTTACCGGCAAAAAGCTCCAATACCATCAACCACATAGCACTGTCCTCCATTGAAGCAGTAACTGGGGAAGATGTCGCATGACGAGATACATGTGCCATTATAATGCACAAATCCATAGAGACAACCAGAGTTGAGCACATCTGATGCTCCAGGTGAAGTTTCTCCAGATCCATCATCAGAGGTGATAACTCTAGTGTTGGAGGGAACTGCGCTGGCTATGAGAGGAACATTTTCATCTTCCATGTCAGGTGGCGTTGGTTGGCTTTCCTCTAGGTAAACTTCAGTGGGTGAATAGTCAGGTGACAGATAATCATAAAAATCAGAAAGGGTCCAGGAAGTTGGATCTCCACCCTGGAGCTCCTGAAACCAAGCAGGAGGATCAAGCACATGCTGTTGGTGAGAAGGATTGTAAAAATTCACCGTGATAACTTCTTCTGGTTGGGAAGAGGTGGACTCAGGAGCAGGACTCATGACAGGATCTAACAACGTCCCATCTGCTTGTAGTCTCTCACTCTTCCAGCGTGGGGCGCTGTCCTCGATTCTCTCCTCGCTAAAATCCAGCTGGGACAGGCCACGTGTCCGGGGTTCAGCCAGCGTGGGCAGCCGGGCACCCATGCCATCTATCAGATCAATGAGGCGTTCCCTTTCGGCTGAATCAACAGTACTGGTTGAGGTTTCTCCACCGCTGCCTGACTCTTCTCCAGCTCGTGGTTTTCGAGAGTGAATTTGGGCCTGGGCAATAGGTGTGACTTCACCAGGAAGTGCAGACTTAAGCCCCACCCCATTCAGGTCTGAGGAATTAGTGCCAGTAGAATTGGAGATAAATGAACTGCCTGGAAAACAAACAAATAATAATAAAAGTTAGTCACAAACTCTTTTATTTATTTATTTCTCTGTATAAGAACACCTTCACAAGCACTCACTGCTATACTGCAAACTCAGCAATTCATGCAGAGAGAGAACAAAAGACATAATATGTACTCTGTATCACACACACCCAGACAAATCTGCTTAATTATACACTGCTGTGCGCGAGGCCCCAGATTTCTTTCCAAAGCGGCTTGTGGTTGCTGGATTAGCAGCTCTGATTTACTAATGTACCCCCCTGAGCCCGGGCTAGGATTGGGATTCAGATTAGGATTAAGGGCTGTAGGTTGAGACTTGCATTGGTCAGTCTGGATGGGTAAGCTTTAATGCACAAAGATAAACACACAATGGGGAATTCCTCTTTAGCACTGGAAAATCTCACTGACCTAACTGATTATCTTTTACTGATACTGTAAACCAATCTAATGCAATCTACCTCAAATATGAACGCATGTGGAAATATCCTTTTTATTTCAATCCCTGATTGTCTAATATTATTTCATGAAATATATACACTACTGTTCAAAACGTTGGGTCAGTATTCAATAAGATTTAAAAGAAGTCTCTAAAAGAAGGCTGCATTTATTTGATCAGAAATAAAGTAAAAACAGTAATATTGTAAATATGATTAATATTCAAATAAAACTGCCTTCCATTTTAATATATATTTTTTAAATATACGTTATTCCATTGTTGCAAAGCTGAATTTTCTATTTTGAACTTCCATTTAAAATAGACATCTTTTAATACCAATAAAAAAAATCTGAACGGTAGTGCATTTAAAACAGTAACACAAGTATATATATATAAAGCGTTTGTGCCCAATTGGCAAATAAAGCCCACTTCAATTCTGCTTGAGCACTTAAATTAAAACTGTAACAAAAAGCAGATCTGAGGAACATTTACAGTCAATTTTTCTAGATTGTCTTTCAGCAATCTACTTTAAGTATTTGACTGACAGTGTGAAATTCTGTTTCCATGGGCATTCTTGGTTTAATTCCTCTTTATTGTAAATTAATTCCAAGTCACACATCAACGCCTAACAGACACTCACTCACACACACAGTTGCCAAGAAGCAATGTAAAGGAGCTGCCATTTTGGAACATCTCAAAAGCCATATAAAACAGAGACCCTTCTGTCCTCTCCACTTGATTCACTTCCTCTCTTTCTCCCATTCATTTATTCACACAATCCCCCCTGAGAGGGTAACGGAGATGGCAGTGGGTGCATAAATTATTTCTCACATACTCCATGTGATGTTCAAGTATTCTATTAAATTCTTATCTAGTTTAATTTCAAAGCAACAGTTGGCTCCTTTTACTTTTATTTTGAAATATTTAAGAGCTAAATGCTACACTGGACTGATGAGAATAAAACACAGTCACCCCAGAGCCCCAGAGCAAGAGAGACTAGAGGAAAACAGTTGTTTTGATTTGCATAACTCCTTGCGAAGGGGTCAGCTGACAGAAAAGAGAGGTTGGGGGAAAGTCTCATTGAAAGAAAAATACCACAAAACACATGCTATAATGGAGTGAAGATGAGAAAATGTGACAGTGAGAGTGTGTTTGTCCTTCCGCCTATTTGAAGACCAGTGCCAAAGCCTTTCAGAAGGATTTCTGTCGCCTTTCTGTTTAGTAAGCAAGTCAAGACTGCAAGAGAGAGGGGGATAGTGAGAAAAAAGGGGGGTAAGACGATCGAGAGTGAGAAAGAAATAGGGAAGAGAAGTATTTTCTCATGACCTCACCAGTGAGACATTTAAATTTGTAAGAGTGTGTGAAAGTATGGCGTCATTCATTCTCTCACTGTGCTCATGGCCTCTATTTACAATCAATACCACATAAAATCTGAATCAAATCAGAATACAAATAAATGATGATCAAGGAAGACCAACCTAAACATCCAACTTCAGTGCGATAGTACTGTAAAGCAACACTGTACTGTTGAATATCTTAATATTCTCTCTTCACCTTCATTAAAAAAACAGCACACGTTCTTCCTCTGTCTCTGGTTGACATTATTTGCTTATGTAACACTCTTGAGGGGAGAAAAAAGACCATGTTGCAGAGCATGGAAAACTGCAAATGTCAACTCTTCCTCTCATCCCTCGTACTATCTTTCTCTCCCTCGATCTCTGATGACCCAAACAAACCTGTAATCTGAAGGAGTATTTGAGGTTACATGTCAAGATGCTCCATTAAAATGTCCATGTACAAAGAACAAAAGAAAATATTTAGAAGAATGTTTGTCTGTAAAATACTATATATTTTTATATATATAGTATGTTATAAAGTCTATAACAACACTATATTTGAGTGCATAAAAGGCATTTTAATATATATTGTTTTGTGTTTAACAGAAGATTTCTAGGTGAACAACTTCTTTTCACTTAATCTTCAAGCTGTGTTAAACAGAGCTGATTAGTCCATTCTTATTGGTAGTTAAAACGGTAATTAAATTAGCCAAAGTATTTAAAGTCAGCACAAAAAGACAAATCATCGATTTTCAAAACACATGTTATTGATCTTTTTGTGAGCAATTAATCCATCACAGTTTCAATTTACTGTTTTATTTTTTTTACCTCATACATTTTAATGTCTTAAATTAATTTTCACCAGACTTCAGAAATGACTTCGGTCTGGTGATGTATGCAGGACTTCTCCAATCATTTAGTCTCCTTAAAGGGACAGTTCACCCAAAAATGAAAATTCTGTCATTAATTACTCACCCTCATGTAATTCCAAACCTGTAAGACCTTCGCTCATCTTCGGAACACAAATTAAGATATTTTTGATTAAATCTGAGAGCTAAAGAGAAGAAATTGTTGAATAAAGTCGTTATTCTTGTTTTCTTTGTGCACAAAAGTATTCTCGTAGCTTCATAAAATTAAGGTTGAACCACTATTGTCACATGGACTATTTTAACGATGTCCTTACTACCGTTCTGGGCCTTGAATGTGGTAGCTCCGTTGCTGCCTATGCAGGGTCAGAAAGCTCTCGATTTCATCAAAAATATTCTGAAGATGAACGAAGTTCTTACGGTTTTGGAATGACATGTGGGTGAGTAATTAATGACAGAATTTTCGTTTTTGGGTGAACTATCCCTTTAAACCTTTCTTACAATTGGCTGCAAGCTTGCAATCAGATCTGCCTCCATCCAATCAACAACCAATGGATAAAAATCCTGATCTATATTTTTGATAATCCATTTTGGATGTACATCACCATACAGAAGAAAGGATCTGTCACTTTTTCCATTTCAATGCAACTTTAAAATGCAAGGGGCAGAGACTGTGCAGAACTTTGTGAATGACGGGCGTTCCGATTTCTGTGGGCGCAGATGCCATGTAGGCCTGCCGATTTCTGCTACTATGCAGCCAATGCTCTTTATGTAATAGACAACTTAACATTTAACTCACCTCACCTTAATTTCAAATCTGATGACTTGGTATCCTAAAGGCAAGTGTCATTCTATGCTCTGCTGAATAAAATCCACATTGGCACCAATGTGTTTAGTTATAAATAGTACTGTGATGCTGCTTGGCAGGGGAGCTGGCATGGACGTCCTTGGCATCAGGGTTGGGGTGTAGGTTCACAGCAGTATCAGTTCAAAGCCGAACAGACATATAGAGATGCCAGAGCTGGTGAATTAACAGTGCCAACTCCATGCCCCACCCCAACCTGTGCTACTGTTGTACAGCATGACCCATTAATAGTTATGCCACCTAAATTAAATATTTGGGCCAAAAACTGCACTCAATGTGTTGAGAATGTATCAGATAAATGAAATGTTACTTTGGGCACATGCATGAGCCAGTAATGAGCATTTGAGCAGATTACAGAAGATCAGTTAAAAAAATTCCAGTTCACTCTAATCTCGATTTAAGAGGGAAAGCCAATTGTTTGTTTCACCATTCATAAACAGTATGGTTTTAAGATTTATTGTAACATTTTTTTTATTAATGATATTCAAAGAATGCAAAAGTTAAAGAATGATAACTAGATCTAAATCTATGAGTCCACACCACAACTATAATGACAACAACGTTGAAAACACTTTCAGAGTCAGTCAGAATTCACCTGACTTTAAAGAGCTTGAGCATTTAAAGCATCAGATGACATATGCAGCGCACGTTTATTCAATTCAATTCAAGTTGATTTGTACAGCGCTTTTCACGATACAAATCTTTTCAAAGCAACTTTACAGCAAATTAGGTTTCTACAATATTTAGTGGTAGCTTATCAGTGGTGACTGTCAGTTAATGTACATATGGCAGAAATGTACAGAAAAATCAATTAAAGACAATCAAACAGACGATAAACACTATTAACAGCAATTATTATATGATGCAATCAAACTTATAGCAAAATTTGGTAGTTCTGTATGTTGTTTCAGGGTTGGCATCATCTGAGGTCGTTTATAATACGTTATCATCTGTTGGTGGGGATGCCAATTTCATACTGATCATTTTTTACACCTTTTTTACACAACCTTTACTGATTAAGCATTAAGATTAATTAATAAATAGCTTTTAATAAATTATAATTTTAGATATTCACATTAACATTGTAAATAATTTATAATTTACAAAAATAATCATTTTAAATTGTATTAAACTATAAAATTATAAAATATACATGTAAAACAAATATAGAATCCCTTTCATGTGGATTTTAATGACTGATTTTCAAATAATGCTTGCAGAGACAAAAACATTCTAATTAATATTGATGTATGCAAGCAGTCATATGTGGATTTCTCGAAATCATAATTTTGTCTTAATCAGGTAAATGCTTTTGCATTACTGGTTTATAATCAGAATGTCCAAATTCCAATTGATGCAAGAATATTTTAGTGCATGTACACAATGTGTGTGCACAGCATCAAGTGTTTGAAAGAGATTGGTCTCCATGTGTGTCTAGAAACATCATTGAGTTTAACAAGTACAAAACTGGATCAACAGCAACATGATTAATTCACCTGTAATGTTTTATTACACAGACGCTGACAACCAGCAAGTATCCAACAGGTTGTGTAGTTCCATAAGTTTCCAACAGTGTAGGCAGCTCTAGTGTCAGCGTCTCACTGGGAGCTCCATACGGGCAGGCTAGGCGAGCGCTAACACTAGCTCGTTGACGCTAATGCTCATTGACAGTCTCTGCTGTTATGAGACCGCAGTGGCAGATGGCTCTCTTGTGCCATGCATGGAAAGGATCTAAGCAAGTTTAGCGAGAAAGTGCCCTAAAGAAATGATCTGAGGCTGGTTTTAGACATTTTAAAATAAAGATCAATACAGACATTGTTCAAAGACTAAATCTGTGCATGTTTTTGTGAATGCATCCTGCTTGTCGCTTTTTATTTCTCTCTCTTGCTCTCCTAAGGTTGGGGATGTGAGTGCTAGGTCTTGGCAAAAACAACAAAGAAGAGTAACAGCCTTTTGTCACAGCATGCCCACAAATTTCAGCTAGGCACTAGCAATGCATGTTCAATTATTGTAATGATTGTCCCTAGTTTAACATAACAACAAAAGAAACACCAGATATAAGTAAAAGAGGGAATAATAGCAACTGGCAACAATACACAACACATTTCAGCTGAATGAATAGCTATGAAAAGTGGTCTGACTGAATTCTCTGAGTTGACTTTAATATAAAATGATGTGACATCTCTAAAAGGATAATGACATTCAATAGGGATATTGAGGGTAGTATTTTATTTATAGAATTTGTGGATTGTAAAAAGTGGCACCTTTGACAAGTGGTCGGCGGTAATGGGTTTAAAAAAAAAAGAAGAAATTTAGATTAAGATGACATCTTTTTGTTTGGAATAATGTGCACTGATTAATCGTTCACTTTATGCAAGAAGAGCCGCTGGAACAATGTATACAAAAAAGTCAATTTTGACTGTGTTGACTGATGTAGTCAACGATATTTTAGCTGATATTTGTCCACTTACCAGTGTCAGCCAATATGTTTTTTTTTTTTTCTCTGCAGCCAATGTTTCGGAAGAAACTTTTATTTCGACAGTGCCAAGAATGCCAGCACCTTAGTGCAGATGTGGATGTAACGTATAAATTCTTGATTTCAAACTATGCTATGCTATATCTAGTTGGCCACCATCATATTCATGTTATGTCACGGTTTGTTGTATGTAAAATTAACCTCTCCTGGTCTTTATTTGTAAAAAAAAAAAAGAAAAAAGATTCCAGCCGAGCACAAACTTGTTACTAAATGCCACTGTTGGTTACAGTGTTTACTTCCTTTTTTTAAATTAATGTTTTAACTATTTTATTTGTGAGAAATACTGTAACAGTATTACAGAATCAAGTTGAAAAAAATTAATCTGTAAAATAAACAGATTTACACTTAAGCAAGTTTAAATTTGTTTAATATTGATCAATTTTACAATTAATTATTTTATTATTAAATATGCAGTGTCTTTGCAGCATACAGTATTATGCATGTTATTTTTAAATACAATCGTGTAATATCATACTTATCGGCCACCTCAATATCGGCATCAACCATCAAGAAAATCCATATCGGCCGACCACTACTTTAAAGCCCACCTTCTGCAGTCTATGACTAATCAATACTCTCAATAATCGTTTACCAGGAAGTGTGTTAATCAATAATTCCAGCAACATGTCAGAGCAACTACACCATTTACGTTCCCACCCCCACAAACAAAAACACGAGCACTGGATTTGTTAATTGTTAATGATTTTAAAAAGCAAAATAAAAGCTATTTATTTGTTATCATTGCTTAGGTCAGTTTTCTCAGCAGAGCCTGCTTGCTTAACGTCCTGTGTTGATGAAAGATGCATGTCACTGAAGAGTCAGTGACGCGATAACACATAGACTTTGGGAAGTCTGCCAAGAGGTCAGAGGTTCAGCTAAGTGCAAACGTTTAAAGCAAATGATAATTTCCTGCTTTACTCAATTATTAGTTAGGCCAAGGCAACAGTAGTGTGATGCAGGTCAACCACGCTGTTGACCTAGTCTTCAGGTGCTGTTGCTCAGCAACATTTTTTTTTAAAGGACCATAATTTTGTCAGTGGAAAAATGGTCACCCTCTTATTCCATAAATATGTGAATTATTTGGTAAACTTAAACTTAGATTTAAAAATGAAGCATCAAATACAGCTGAAAAAGTCATGAGCATTTTTTTGCAAGCCAAAAGTAAGTTTTCTATTATCCAGTCTAAAATACATAGCCTAATACATGTTTTACACAAAGTATAAAATCGAGTAAATTATTTGGTTCATGATCAGCCATGAATTACTACATACATTTTTAAAAGACATTTAAATATTTATTAAAAAATATACCAATAAGGTGAAGAAAAAAAGGCTGTGTGTAAAACATTTGATCTAAAACGTCCATACTTCTGAAATTGAAACGACTCGAGCTTCCTCAAGTAATTGTGCTAACGATTTATTACATAACTTAAAGTTCATTCACATGTAAACACCCATTAATCGCTAGATCCGATAGTGAATCTATTAAGTTTTATTACATTTTTGTAACAATTTATACCCTAAAAAGCTCCAACAGGTCACAGAAAAAACTACGACGGTCTCTGTTAAATGCAGGAAAGGCAGGCATTTAGAAAGCTTGTATAATAATACTCACCACCATTAACACACAAAGGAGCGATGTGAAGGAGCAGGACGCTGGACAGCACCACTGCTGGAACCAACATGCGCCTGGAGTTCATCACGACACAAACTGTCTTCCAAAACACTTCAAACGAACCAGGTGGATCTTCTATTCAAGATATAGTCATACGGGAGAAATTTGAGAGAATCCGAGCTATAATCCTGGACATAAATCTCCTTAGATTGAATGCGTTACGAAGCGCGCTGCTTCATGCCAACTTCGGATGGTGTCTTCAGGTGTTATTCCTCTTTGGTCGAGATTCAGGCCACCCTTTAGCGTCGCTAGGGACCCGTCATCTCTTATCCAACTCCCAACAAGATGCCAAGACAGTTAAATGTGTCTCGTTAGTAATGAGAGCCAGTTATCAGGCGTCCACTGAGGAAGCGGAGAGTTTCGGTGCCACAGACTACAGTAGGCTAATTCCAGCGGACTCCGCCAGCGCGAGTTTTATTTGCCAGTCGAACTCACGGTTGATGTGAAGTCATCTGCGCATGCGCCTCCTTACCGACACAATTTCTGTCATATGTGATAGAATCACTGAAAAAGTCAATCAGCTGAGGAGTAAATATTTAACATTTACGGTCCCTAAATGCACTTAAATATAAAATATTGACATAGAAATTGTTTCATAATAAAAAATGTATCTGAGCTCTTTGAATTAAGGTACAAAACTGATGCAAGCGGGTCCCACGAACAAAGCGTCTGAAATTGGGTCACCCATAGACGCCAGTCCAAACATCCGCAAACACTGTGTAGAGGGCAGGGACACTCCAGAACTCGTTTTTCTAAAATCAGTGCGATCTGTGGAAATTATCCTTGGTCAAAGGGGAAATTTGTATTATTTAACCAGTATTATGTAGAATTATAAATTGTATTTATGAATATGTAGAATTAGGTTTTATTTTAATATTTATGGTTTGCATATTAAGTTTGAATAATTCTGTAATTTTCTTTTAGTTTTATTATAGTATAAGTAAAATGATAGCATTTATCAATATTTTAAAATAGCTTTTAATTTATATTTTCAGTTGTGACGTTAGGTTTTAGTAATTTTGTGCGGATGGAAAATGACTTTATCATCTGTTAATTCTGTTCTAGAAGCTTCTTCTGTGTCTATCTTCATGCTCATGTTGATACCATGTGTCAAAACAAGTGTCAGACAAGAAATGCTATTTCTGTTAGGTAGGGGTCCCATAAAAGGGAATGTAAGCAATATGCATCACAATTGGTTAATAAGAGAATATCCTGGTATAGTTTAGAATATAAAAGATTGGGACTAAGGGTTATTCATTTGTCACACACTCTGCAGATGCTCTGTATGACTGTTTGACCTTCTCTTAAGAATAGCTCTTGTTTCTTTGATACAGTTGCTTTCACTCTTCCTATTCTATGGAAGCATATGGGTAGCAAAATTCATTTTGAAATGTAATATGCAAAATGACAATGCAATATGTAAAATGGCAATGAATTACAGTTTTAAAATTTACATTTTCCCATACATATGTGCAACATTTAGTGCAAAATGGAAATGAAATTACAATGATATAATTTACATTTGCCATTTTCTACACTAGTTTTAATATGTAAATCAAAAACATATTTTAATGCTTTATAAGTTGCTAAATTAAAATGAAATTGAATTACCCAAATTGATTAGATATGTTTAACATGTCCAAGCAAAAACTGTAGCAAAATTATCATTTAAAAGCCATTTTTCCTAAATGCATTTAGGCTTACGGGCAAGACACTTGAGATTGCATTTTCATCGTGATACCACGTGAGAATTGTAGCAAAATGCGGTGTGAATTTCAAAATGCCTTCTGAGCCAAATGTGCAGCAAAAGGGTAGCAAAAATGGTGATTTAAATGTCTTTTATTCTTCTTAAATGCATTGACACTTACACTTAAGAAGTTTCAATTGCAGTTTCATTAAATACCCCACGATAATGTAGTTTAAGTCAATGTGGATTTGAAAATGCATTTTAAGCCGATCATGCCCCAACCTGCCAATCATTATATCAAGACGGGGCTCGGTAACAAGACGCACAATAGGTCAATATTCACCATTAACCAAGCGCTTTTCATCTCTCACTGTTTTACACTCCGATTGATGCACATAAGCAGACACTGCAATTCTACACTTTTACCTACTTGCTACCATACTCAGTGTTGACAATTTAGCAATTTTGTAGCTAGATTTAGCGACTTCCCCACCCCTTTTGAGACTTTATTTTTCAAAAGTTTAGGGACAAATATAGTAACTTCTTGGACAAACCTTATCGAAGTTCTCATCTTGCCCACTGATATTCATCTTTATATAGATCAGTGAATTTGCCATTATGATGTCATCTAGTGACATTTAGCTACCAGTTTTAGCTACTTCCAATTAAAAGCAGTTGGCAACATACACTACACCGGACGCGAGCGGCACGACAAATGACAGTATTGAACCCATTATAATCAGCGATGCGGTCTACACTGGATGTGGCGCGATGCGACACGACAACTGTCGCGTCTGGTGTAGCCACGGTGTAAGGTGGCAAGTAAATAAGTGTAGAATTGCTTATGTGCATCAATCGGAGTGTAAAACAGTGAGAGATGTTGAGGCAGGTGAAAAGCGTTTGGTAAATGGTGAATATTGACCTATTGTGCATCTTGTTGCCGAGCCCCGCCTTGATATAATGATTGGCAGGTTGGGGGCGTGATCGGCTCAGAATGCATTTTCAAATCCACATTGACTTAAACTACATTATCGTGGGGTATTTAATGAAAATGCAAAGTGTGAGTGTAAGTGTAAATGCATTTAAGAAACATAAAAGACATTTAAATCACCATTTTTGCTACCCTTTTGCTGCACATTTGGCTCAGAAGGTATTTTGAAATTCACACCGCATTTTGCTACAATTCTCACGCGGTATCACGATGAAAATGCAATCTCAAGTGTCCTACCCGTAAGTCTGAACGCATTTAGGGAAAATGGCATTTAAATGATCATTTTGCTAGTTTCTGCCTGGAAATGTTAAACATATATAATCAATTTGGGTAATACAATTTCATTTTAATTTTGCAACTTATAAAGCATTAAAATATGTTTTTAATTTACATATTAAAACTAATGTAGGAAATGGCAAATGTAAATTATATTTTTGCTACCCTTTTGCTGCACATTTGGCTCAGAAGGTATTTTGAAATTCACACCGCATTTTGCTACAATTCTCACGCGGTATCACGATGAAAATGCAATCTCAAGTGTCTTGCCCGTAAGTCTGAACGCATTTAGGGAAAATGGCATTTAAATGATAATTTTGCTAGTTTCTGCCTGGAAATGTTAAACATATATAATCAATTTGGGTAATACAATTTCATTTTAATTTTGCAACTTATAAAGCATTAAAATATGTTTTTAATTTACATATTAAAACTAATGTAGGAAATGGCAAATGTAAATTATATAATTAAATTTTCATTTTCATTCTGCACTAAATGTTGCAAATATGTTTGGGAAAATGTAAATTTAAATAAAGAAATACATTGTCATTTTGCATATTACATTTCAAAAATAATTTTGCTACCAATATGCTTCCATATTATTCATAATACATAATACAGCTCCCTTCTCCATTTACTCTCATGTATGGAAAAGAGCTTTTCCCAAACCTTGTGCACTAGAGTGACCTGTGATTTAAGTTTCTTTTAAAAATTAAAGCTGTTAAAAATACATCTGGAACAGATCAAGTAATGGCGCAGCACAGTTTTCTTCATAGTTAAGAACAGTTGACTGCTGAAATACCCCGAATATGAAATGAAATGCATCAGAGAATAAGCTAAGTTATAACTTCATATAAAAGATTTATTCTTACTAAATCAAATGTTTTAGTAATTTGTGGCAATACAAAAACAGATCTACAAACATTAAGTACAGACAGATATGGCAACGAAAAGCCTCAAATCTGACCCTTATATGCCAGCATCAATGCTGAAAAAATGAAAGCTGTTAAAAATACATCTGGAACAGATCAAGTAATGGCGCAGCACAGTTTTCTTCATAGTTAAGAACAGTTGACGCTGAAATACCCCGAATATGAAATTAAATGCATCAGAGAATAAGCTAAGTTATAACTTCATATAAAAGATTTATTCTTACTAAAACAAATGTTTTAGTAATTTGTGGCAATACAAAAACAGATCTACAAACATTAAGTACAGACAGATATGGCAACGAAAAGCCTCAAATCTGACCCTTATATGCCAGCATCAATGCTGAAAAAATATTAAATATACACAGAAGTGCTATTGTAAAGGTGAATGTGGATAATGATGTGACCATGTCCTTCATGTCATCTTGCTGAGTTTGGGTCTTAAGGCATTGAAGAAGTTACATGGGTGCAGCCCCATCGGCCTGTGGAGTTTGGTCTGAGTTGGAAAAAAACTAAAAGCAGCCGGATTCAAAAGGTTTTGAACACCGGGCTGGAGTTGATCAGGATTTGAGTTGAGGCATGTGTTACTCACACATGCCATTGGGAGCTCCAGAGTGCCGAGCACCCATGACCTGTCCAGTACCAGCACTGCCCACCGAACGACCTGAGGAGGACACAAAGACCAGTGTTATTAAGACTAAAATGAGTGTGCATGAGACAAAAGCGCTGACTGTGATTTATAGGAGAGTGTACCATGGTGAAGAGGGTTGTATGCTGTACTACTGCTGCTCTGTGTAGCTCCTGTTTGTTGCTGCTCTTCCATGTTCTGCCGTGCCTTCATCTCGGCATATTTCACCTGCTCCAGGTGGAAGTTCTGCCTCTCCGACAATAACTGCTGTCTCTGCTGCTCCAGCTACAACAGACAGATATCAAATGAAGTTCAAACCTGAAATCTTCACATTAAAAATGCAGTTAGCAGTCAGCAAGATCTTTCTCGGTTTAAATAAAAAAGACAAAATGAAACCATAGAGGTTTGGAACAACATGAGGGTGAGTAAATGATAACACTTTCACTTTTAGGTGAACTATCCCTTTAAGAGATTACGAAAACTATTAATTTCCAAAAATAAATAAATGGCAATTAAGATGCATGTCGAAAAGCACTCTTGCACTGAAAAATAATTAGTGTGTTTCTTGGAGTGATGCCAGGCCTTGTTTGAACAAGGCACTAACTCACAGCCTCTTTTTCTCGATCCATAATGGTCTCCAGCTCTTCAAAGTGTCTCAGTTTGATCTCCAACTTTTTCATCTGAGTCTCAACCAGCAGAGCCACCAGAGATTTGATTTTCCTCTCTTCTACTGCAGCCAAGTGCTAGAGGGACATATGAGGAAGAAGGAGAAGAGTGAGTTCAGATGAATCACTATTTTTGTCACTATTAATGGTCATGGGAGCGGGTGCAAGGAAGTAGGTTGGACATCCACCTTTGCTTTGGTAGCTGCGGAGGCCAGTGCTGCAGCAGCAGCTGTGGCGATGTTTCCCTCCACCACCACAAGCGCCACCCTTCTCTTCATCCCCTCCCCGTCCCCTTGGGTGAGGCCCATGTCAAAACTCTCCT